GGAAGTTAACTGCCGGCCTGGAATTCGGGGGCTGGGGGGAGGGCCGCGGGGCTTGGAGCTGCGTGGCCGTGGGCTGGAGATCGCGGGAAACGTGGAGCGGGGGAGGGAGGGTGTCCTCAGCGTCCGCTCACGGCAGAGCCTCGCTTTTGCATATCCTGGGAAACTACGTGGTGGGTGAAGGAATGTTGGGAAATAGCTTTTTTTTTCTTCTTTTTTTTCTGTCTGGAAAAGGGCTTGCGTTTTAGCTTTATGATTGTGGAGTTTGGAACGATCTTCTCTTAATTGCATTTCTTTCTGGAAGTTGCTTCTTAACCACGAGGTTCTGCTTTTACCTGGATCTCTGGGGTTTGTTAACAGTGTAGCGCCAGTGTCACCCTTGCGCTCCTGTTTTTCATTTTAGCGGTAACTTTTAAAGCTCTAACCGCTCAGATTTCAGCGATGCTGATCGCGTTGCAGGATTTTACAGGTGTCTAGTAATAACTGACAAAAGTCTTACTTAAAGGCAATATTAAGCAACGACAAATTTTCAGGTTTTGTGGATGATTACACGTATATATAGTTGTGTTTCACTATGTGAAACTGATTGTTAACGTTTTGTAGGATAAGTACAGCTTTTCTGCATGGATGTTGTTCAGAGACGTGCAGTTATTGCTGCTAACTGTCAAACCAGAATTTGGGGTGGGGGTAGCCTGTGTTCTAGAGCTGCTTTTGATGAATGTGCTTTTTTAAGCTTGTGTATTTCTGTGGAAAGTTCATCTAACTTTCAGCAGTCATTTAAAGCCCTTATTGTTTTTATGCTCCATAAGCACAATGGGTCAGTAGTCACTTTTTCCAGTGGATCAGGACACGTGTACTCTGTAACACAATATTTTACTGATAGGTCAGAGTATGTGGTGACTGGGATTTTTGATCTAACTTCAGTGTTGTGTTTTAGCTTTCTGAGGAACTAAAGGGTTCTATACTAGGTATTGAATTGTGTTTTGGAAATTTAATGTTGTTCAGTTATAATGTGTTTAACCTGCAAATGTTGCTTGTTTTCCCTTCTGCTTCTTGAAGTCGCTTGACTGGTGAGGAAGGCAAAGAATTCACTGTGGGTGTCAGAAAATACTTTCCTCAACTTTGCAAAGCATTTAAGGTATGTCTTTTCTGTTCAATTTTCTATGCTTCAGTGAACAAACATACATTTAAGTGGTCAAGATCAGTAGCCATTACGAGAGTTGAGTTTGAGTTCATTTGCTAAGAATTCAACCTAGTGAGGTAGCATTAAGAGGTTGTTGACAAAATATGTCATTTGTGTTATTAGAAATTACTCACAGAAAAAAATGAATTATGGGGTCTTTGCTGTGATCTCTGAGCCAGAAAGGGTACCATGTGTTTTGATTGCCTTTAGAAACACTTTGAAGATTTGGAATATGTAGTAAATGTAAAATTTTTTTTTTTAAAATGAATATGAAGAGTGTTGTTAGCCATTTTCCCCCTTTCTGTTTTATGTGTTTAAAAACAATTGGAAAGTCACGTAATATGTAGTAAGCTAAGAAGTAAAGAAGTTCATTAAAGATGTCTGAATTACAGAGAGCAAAAATGTCTTCAGAACCTCATTGTTTTACTGATTTGGAATGTGTGTAATCAGGAAGGATTTCCTAGATAGGTGCTTGCTTTTGACAGCTCTCTCTTCATTGAGCAGGAAAGTTGATATTAAGACAGTAAAACTTCACAGTTACTTCTGTAAACTGAAACTATTTGTATGTGGGTTTCTTTTTTTTCAGGTACACATTTGTAGTCAAAACTCAGAGCTGAATAATGCAGCGTTACAGGCGTTAGGATTCTGTGTTTTTAATTCAAGTATTACGTCTGAATTATCTGGTAAGCAAATAAACTTGAGTGTGGATGCTTGTAATGTGTGTGTACATGACAGAATTCTTTTTTCATGTATTTGTTAGCATGTACTTTAATTTTAACAGTTTGCAGTTCCCAAGAGGTGCAGTGGTTTTGTCTCTAGAGCGAGCATCCTAATCAGTAATTCCATCGTGTTTAAAAAAAGTTTAATGTGTTTTTCATGCTGTTACGCTAATACTGTTTTCTAACTTCTAGTTTCATTAAATGCTTTGGTAGCAGTTAGATGCTCTCATTAGGTTTGTGGAATTAATAATAAAAAAAATGACTGAGTGGAAAAAGAGTTAAGAGCTTTTTTATTTGGAGAATTTGTGTTTGCATGGTAGTGCTTTTCAGTGTTTTCCAGCAATTACCTGGGGATTCCTGATTGTTAAATTGAATCAAAGAATGGTTTGGGTTGGAAGGAACCTTTGATTTAGGGTCATCCAGTCCAGCTTCAGATGTTCTGCTGATAAATATTTCCAGTTGAGCTAATTTAATCCAAAATCTTACAGCCTACGTTCTTAGAAAGCATGAAGTCTCTTTAGCCAAGAGCTTTGCTGTTGAGAACTTGAGGCTGTGGATTTTGTTAATAGGAGAGAGCTAATGTCCAAGTGGGCAAGTGACTGCCATTCTGTGTACTGAAATTGGTTCTTTCAGTTAATTTATTCAGTTTTTCAGTGTCCTGCTTTCCTGTTATGTAAACTTTAGTCTGTTTTCTTAAAAGAATGTTTGTGCAGTCCCTTTTCTTTCCCCAATAACTTTTTTTTTTAACCAGTTGGTAAATTAGACAATTTTATTAATTGTTTCTGAAGCCTGACATACTCTTAAATCCTGAAAACAGTGGAGAGTTAGGGACAGGGGACAAAAAGTGTATGCACTTTTGATTGAGAAGAGAACTATATATGAGTTCTGTTTCTCTGATAGTGAGATCATTTACCTACAAAGCCCAAATTTGTGGGAAATCAGGGTTCATAGGTTTTGAATTTTAAAGGCATACATGATTTCCTCATCTGTCTTCTTAGGTGCATGTAAGTCCTGTGTTAATCTTATTTTTTTTGTGTGTGTGATGAGCTGGCTGTTGCCTCAGTTATAGCTTTACCATCCTCTCCCAGTAATAAAGCTTCTTGTAGACCTTAAAATGAATTTATTTATATCAGTATAGCAGCAAAATAGACCAAAGTGCAGCTAAATTCACTCGAAATCCAAGAAGTTTTGAGTGATTCAGTATTTAATTTTTAGCTCTAGTGTTTTTAAATAAAATTGTCTTCTAGTTTTATGGTTTTGTGGTTTCTTACAAAGGTAATACAGATGTACTACATTAATAGTATCTGTATATTAATACATTTTGAGCTTTTTATTCTGACTTATTTTGAGAAAGGTTTCCAAAAATTACCCTTAAGTAACATTAAAAAAATTAAATCATTTCCATTGGGACTTCTAGTCCCAGTAATGTTAACTGAGCAAAATGACCCAGAACTTGCTAAGGAGCTGAGGAGGATTGTGTAACCAGAATTTGAGTGCTGTGCGTTCTGCTTTCAGCAACTGAAACACGAGACTTGCTTTCAATGGTGAATGGTGTTGCTCTAAAAACTTCTGACAAAAACACTCGCACTCGGGCACTTTGGGTGATCTCTAAGCAGACATTTCCTTCTGAAATTGTTAAAGAAGAGGTAAGTTTCCTACTCTTTTTTTTGTGTTTGTGGCCTGATTTCCTGGGGCGATGAGGCTTGTACATTCTCTTGGTCCCTCTCCACTCAGTAACTTTTGAATTTGAAGGTTGTTTTCCATCAAATTTGACAGCCAGATGTAGGACCTCAGTTTTTGGAAGGATTGTAAGGGCACCAACAGAAGGAAGAGAACCAACAAGTTCTTGGTTTTCTTGAGGAAGAAGCTGCAATGTGAGCAATTCCGTTAGTATCGGTGAAGCAGCACAGGGGAGAAACTGAGCGTAGTGCAAACACAGGGAGCGCACAGTCCTGGGAAACAAAATTTCATAATTCCAGCTCCTCTTGGAAATAATTTGTGCTCAGGTGCTCACTCCAGTATTCTTCTCTTATTTCCTCAGGTGTCCAGTATTATTTCTACCCTGGAAACGATACTTACCAAAGGAGATGTACAGTCTATGGTGGTTGAATACGAGGCACTAAATGTTATTATACGGTATGTTCACTGTAATATGAGCTTGTTAAAGTAGGTACTTTAGGCTTTTTTTGGAAACTGCTGATACAAAATCGTAGTGGCATTAGGTATACCAAGAGATTTTTTTTTTTAATACTCTCAGAATTGTTCAGTACGTTCAAGATTATTTTCCTACAGTGTTTTGTATTATGGGCAGTAGTGAAATTGTGTGAACTACCATTTCTGTCTCTTTGCTAGTGGCTCTCCTGAAGAGCTTTGTTTGCAAAATACTCTGTTAATGATTATAAAGTAATTGATTTTGATAGAGCACGTACTCAATATTCAGATAAACTTTCACTGCTTTCATTTTTAAGGGCTTACTAGCAAGTATTTCAAAAGTCTCATGTGTTTCACAAGTCTTACAATCCAGCTTTCATTTTCGGAACCTACCAGGCTGAGAAATTCTCCACCATTACATGGGGTTTTAAATAAAAGTTTCTTGATGGTGCTTCACAAATTTTGCTGCATTGTTTGTCATAGCACTGCGGAGGGTACTCTTTTAATTCCAGAGGCAGATTTTTAGGACCAATACCAAGAATGTGCTGTTCTGGGCAGCAGTGCTAGGCTTGTCAAGTTTTATCTTTACTTACATTAATTTAATTTCTTTATTAGTAAATATATTTGACTTTTATCTTTACTATTACTCTAAATCCATTTTAAAGTTAAATAGTTATTTGCTTATTTTATTAGTACATTGGTTTTTGTAGCAGAAAAGTTGGATATTATTTACTTGGTATTTAGCAAGTTCTTGCATTTTTACACTGATTTGTCTTTTGCAAATCTGAGATTTAATAGACAATTGTTTCTTGAAAATTAAAAGACCTAATTTCATAAAATGTGTAGTTATTTTATATGTGTGTGCATATGTATTTTTATAAAATAATTTTACTGTGTTTATGAAGAAGATCAGAATGCTTAACTAGGCTGATGTTGAGTCTGTGCAAACCCACACTGCTCCAAGCTTTGGGTTGTCTTTAAAAAGCAGGAATATGTTGTTTTCAGCCCAGAGGCCCTGTTGGAGCTGGTCTCTTCTGCTAAGGACACGCGAGGGATGGTTACAAGGCAAACTTTGTACTTCGCCACTGATAAGGAAGCGATGGTGTGTTACTTTCAGGCTCTCAGTTTGGCTCTCTTGACTGAAAAGTTGTGATAAAACAACTGAAAGAGTCAGTCCATTCTGCTATTTTATCTGAAGTAACACAGCAGTGTAGCAGTTTTAAGTGGTCTGTCAAAATACAATTGTTTAGAAAAATAAAAAATTGCTTAGAATAATTTCATGGAAATCATATTATTTATTGATGATGCTAGGATTATCTTTGAGCGTCTGAGCAGTATGCCTGTTGGAGATTTGTAATACCCACTGTTGCTTTTTTGGGAACTAGCTTAATGGAGCAAACTCCGGTCCAGATGGGAGAAGAGGCTGTGAGGTGGGCAAAACTCATCATCCCCCTGGTCGTCCATTCTGCTCATAAGGTGCAGCTGCGAGGTGCCACCGCCCTGGAGATGGGCATTCCCCTGCTGCTCCAGAAACAGCAGGAGGTAGCGGCCATCACGGAGCACCTCATGACTACGGTGAGTGGAAGCACCTTGCCCAGAGGCAACAGAAATAGTTATCGGGGTTGGTTTTTGATTGGGGGTTTTAAATTTTACTTACAGGCTAGACAGTGTCAGCAAAAAGCCACTGTGAGTTGACAGCGACTTCTTGATGACCACAGTTTCAATGGAAAAATTAATGTAAATATAGGATCACTGTAAAAAATAATTTTAAGTGGCTGACGAGAATCATTGATTGGTAAAATAACGTGTCCTTTTAAAATAACCGTAAAGCACTTGTCTCGATAGTATTAAGTTGTATGGTATCATTGCACTTCTGTGTCTTTTAAAGAGAATTTTCTTATTGAATGTGGTGGTTGTACCCCAGATGCAACTAAGTGGCATTCAGCCACTGAGTCAGTCCTGCCCCCTGCCCTGTGGGATGGGCAGGAGAATTGAGAGGAAAAACAGTAAAACTGAAATAAGAACAATCTAATAATTGAAATAAAATTAAATATAATAGTAATGAAAAGAGAGATAACAAAAAGAGAGAAATAAAACCCAAGGAAGACAAGTGCAGCACAGCGCAGTTGCTCACCACTTGCTGACTGACACCCAGCCAGTCCCTAAGCAGTGATTAGTGCCCCCTGGCCAGCTCCTGGGTGTGATGTTCCATGGTATGGAATATCCTTTTGGCTGGTTTGGGTCAGCTTCTGGCCATGATCCCTCCCAGCTTCTCATGAACCTCTTTGGCAGAGTGTAGGAAACCAGAAAGTCCTTGACTTAGGATAAATATTATTGAGCAACAACAAAAACATCTCTGTGTTATCAACATCATTCTCATAATAAACCAAAAACACAGCACTGTACCAGCTATGAAGAAGAAAATTAACTCTATCCCAGACAAAACCAGAAGACTGAATTAGAATCGGCAGGAGATAGTGTGACAGTCACATCATCTAGCTTAGCTTCCTTCTGGAAACAGCCCTGGCTTCAACGTTAAAGCCACATTGCTCAGGGCCTTGTCCAGCTGAGATTTGACTGTGCTGAAGGGTTGAAAAGCTACCGCCTGTGTGGGCAACTTGTTCAGTGTGTAACCACCCTCAGGATAAAAGCAGGGTTTACTTTGTTGGAACTTGTGTCGGTTGCTTCCAGTCCATCCTTTGAGTACTTCCCTGAAGCATCTGGCTCTAAGGTTTCTAGCATACTTTTCTTTCTTGTAGAAACAATGTTTCTCTCTGTCTGCAGAAACTAATTTCAGAACTTCAGAAATTGTTTTCTACAAAAAATGAGACCTACGTATTAAAATTGTGGCCACTGTTTGTCAAATTACTTGGAAAGGTAAGCGGAAAAGCGGTAAGTTCTACAGTTGTGAATCTTTAGGGGAGGAATTTTTGACAGCATAAATAACTTCATTCTGAAACGTCTTTTTTCTTCAGACTCTGCATCGTAGTGGCAGTTTTATCAACTCATTGCTGCAACTGGAGGAACTTGGATTTCGTAGTGGCTCACCAGTGATAAAGAAAATAGCCTTCATTGCGTGGAAGAGTCTAATAGATAATTTTTCTCTAAACCCAGGTAGATTAAAAAAAGTTAACCAGAATTGTTTTGACTGCTGTCACTTTGCGTAACTGGAAGAGAATATTCTGTTTAGTGGTAGTTATTTCTATGTATATACCACTGGGTATACACATAGTATCTCTGTGGTACATGCGTAGTGGTGTATATATATATACACATAGTGGTATGTCCTGTGTGCATATACATCAGTAAAATTCAAGGTTTGTTGTTTTGGGGCTTTAAGGAGAAGTAACAGTCTGATCAGTAGTTCTATCTTAATTTTTCTTCCAGGAGAAATAGAATAAACAGAGTAAAATTTTAAAACCTTTGCTTTGTAACACTTGAATTGATTCAGACAGCAATGAAATAGAAAATGAAACGTTCCATAGATCTTGTTTTGGGTTGGGTTAACTGGCAAAGAGAAATGTTTCAGGATTCTGGAGGTGTTAAAAAAAGTTGCTTTAAAGGTATAGTGAGACCTGAACAAGTCTTTTAAGTCCAGCCTGTGTCAAAACACACATTTATTTTTTACTTTGAGTGTGCTTCTCCTTACTGACTGCCCTGAAGAGAAAGCTAAATGTGGACCTTTCTTACTTTAGCTGAAACTAACTTAAACTGTCATTTGGATGTGTTTGTTCTGGCCATTGTTTCCCATAAGTTAATTAACCAAAGCTTTGATTCTATCAGAAAATAAAATCACTGGCACAGCTGGCATTCGTTGTGCATGTTTTGGGTTTTCTCATGCTGTGGCCCGTAGGACTTTCACGTAGCAAGCAGGAGTGAAGCTCCTTCTCTTTGTGTGGTATCTAGTAGATTTCCTTTCAGTCTTGATACAAGAAGCAAACACTTGTGGTTTCCAAGGTTCTAGACAGCAATTACGAGCAGTGAAGTAGTCTGAAAGGTCGGGATGTTTACTGTGTATTTTAGTTTTGCAGATTGTCATCAATTGAATTTTAAGCTAAGATAAATTAGGAAAAAAAAAGGAATAGCTTAAATTTTTTCCTTTGTGATTTCATGATTTGTGTTTCTTAAAAATACACTTTTTTTTTTTGTCTTCAAGATATATTGTGCAGTGCTAAAAGGCTGAAATTGCTCATGCAGCCACTGAGCTCGATCCACGTGAGAACAGAGGCTTTAGCACTGACAAAACTGGAGGTCTGGTGGTATTTAGTCATGAGGCTGGGACCTCAGCTGCCTGCAAACTTTGAACAGGTAATACAACTGAACATAATGGTAGCACAATTATTTTGCCTGTGCTGAGCGTGTGAAGCTAAGTCCCTCTTTGTCACCGCAGCTTATTCTGTACCTGCTGGGTCCTTCTCTAGTTTATTACTAAAATAAAACTGTCTTAAGCAACCAAATCTGACTTGTGCTCTGTGTTAAATATAACAGGAACACTTGGAGTGATAGGTGCAATTTATTTAAAGTTCCAGAAGATTTGAGAGTACGTGTTGTAGGAGTGTCTTGGTGAAAAATCTCTGGCGACTGCACAGATACAGTAGACAGAAACTCGTTCTACAAGGACTGCTTTGTCCTTTTGCTGGGCAAGTGGGTGCTTTGGAAAGTCCGCTGTAGAAAAACATACTGAAAGGATCGCAAAATGTTTAAAGGTGCACAGAGAGAAATGATCCAGGTTGTTTCTTTACTACTCGCCTCATAATTGGAATAAACATAATATTGCTATTAGGCTTCTGAATTTCATTAATTTAAACTTCAGGATGAGAATAAAATTTTAAAAATCTACTTTTTTTTGGATACAATATAGTTGTATTATTCTAACTGTTTAATCTAGCCAATTCTAATTCATATATCAGTATGCATATTTTACACATCGTCTTACAATACTTCAAGTAATTAAAAATGTTCTAAGTACCCAGAAACTCTGGAACATGGATACTCAACATGGAACCTGTGGTTGGTTGTGGCTTCTGTGCCGGACCCGTTTTCACTGAGGTTTGCTGTCTTTGCAGGTTTGTGTACCGTTAATCCAGAGTACTTTAAGTCTAGATTCTTCTGCTGCCTTGCAAGGAACTCCCTCACGTACACCAGCCAACCAAAGCTTGGGCACATCAACCCCTGCACAGAAATCAGGTATTAAAGCACAGAACTGTTTCCAGCAAAAAGTGACCTCTTCCGTTTAGCGTGTTTCTCGTTTTTCATTTGCAATGTTTTCTTATCGAAAACAGTAATTGTCCTGTGTGTTCATTGCAGAGCTCAGAGCAGAGCTTTACATTGGATAAAATTAGCCTGCTGTCACCGATATTTCAAATTCACCAAATTGTGCTGAGGAGCAGTTTTAATGTCCTGAATTGTGCTGTCTTTTGCGAGGGAATCCTAGTTCAAAACTTTGGGTTTTGTGCATTCATGTGCTATTTATATGCACCATTCTCATTTCTATAGCATCGTTAGTTTCTGCCTGAAGTGTAACCCAATGATCATAATACACCAGTAATTTTGGTACTTTAAGTACTTGTGAAATCACACCTACTCCAGCTTTACATCTAAATGCCTGAGATAAGGAACTGCATCTTTTTCTTCTCTGTATGGGAAACTTGGCTTTCACAGCTTCTGTAATTGTGGCCTGCTGTAGTTAAAAGACTCAGACGTGTTGTGGAAGTGTCCTAGATGTGTAGATCTTCATTCCCTTTTTTAAAAAAAAGAAGTTAGTTTTAGTTCTGTGAGATCATAACCAAGGTTGGTCAATATTCTTTGCGTGAGAGTTCTTAAACTTGTGGTAGTGTAAAAGTTTATGATGGAAACATAGAGTTTAAGAGCAGAGTTACTATAGTACATAGCCTCTTACTTTCTCCATTACCCCAACTTCCCTGGGGACTTTTGCTGCCAAAATAAAGTTTGGCACCCAAGACTTTGCAGGCTTTGGGTGATAATTATGCTTTTAAATACCGTGGTTATGTTAAATCCTGTTTAATAGGAGTGCATGCTGGATATCTCTCTGGCTGTTAGAGGTCCCTTTTATCTAACGCTCTTCTAGGATTTGTTCTTTTTATATGAACTTTGGGATTTTGGTCTGTAGGATCTTCAATTTGATTATGGGTGAAATATGAGACGATGTAATTTTTCTCCTCTCTCTTAGGTTCTTACCTGTTTGCAAGTCCAGCCACACCAAGGATGAACTTGAACTCTAGTACAGCAGGACTGGTGGTAGTTCCTTCCATTCAGCTTTTGGGAATTGAAATGCTGCTTCACTTTTTGATGGGACCAGAAGTTGTTGATTTTGCTAAGCAGAACAAAGTTGTGCTTAGTTTAGGTATATGAGTTCTATTTTTCTGAAGTACTTTCACATAATCTGAAGTTGCAACTTTTGTTGGATTTGAAGAGGTCTGTTAGAATGAAATGCTTTGTCATCTTTGCTATTGAAGGTTGTTTTTGTTAAATGCTCTAAGTATGCATATACACTTGGTTATTTTTAAGGCTTATCTTACCAGTAGACTGCAAAATAACAGATTAATGGAACATGTGTTTTTGTTCTCCTAGAGCCTCTCCAGTACCCACTGATCAGTAGCCCTTCTTTTTTTTGTAAGCACGCCAGTACGCTTATAAACGCAGTTCAGGATGGCTTTATTGCAATTGGAAAAGAAGTTCCTGGTAAGAACTTAGTGGTGAAATTTGATTTCTTTTCTGGAAAATAAAGTGGGCGAGGGAAGCATAAGAAGAAATAACTACTTTCTGTAATATACCAGTGTTGTGTTAAATAGACTGTATGGCTTGATTTGAAAGCTTGGTCGGTTTTGTTTTAGGTCAAAGTCTGTTGATTAACACAGTTTGTATTTAACTGCAATTTCGTTTAATGTTTTTATTACAAACTGAACAAAAATATTCTGCTGTCTTGTAGATTGTACGCTGAATGCTATATGGAAGGGCATAAATGGATACGTAAAAACAGCTATTGAATCAGGTAAAAAACGTATTTTTATCATTGGTGGCCAGTTAGAGGGTTGATTTTAAAACTAAACCTTTAGTGTCTGCTTCATTGCTGATAAAGCTTGCTTGAGCATCATCAGTGGTTCCTTCTGAAGCAACTGATACTGAGTGTCATTCTGATATTCAACTGATATTTTTTGTGATGCCTGCATCTTTGTGTGACAGGTACAAAATCCAAGTGATCTGAGCCAGTGAGGCTTACTGGGGAGGGCACAGTAGCGTGTGGCTGCAGGTGTGTGTTGCGTGTAGCAGTAAGAAAGTCATTAAAGCACTTGAACTGCTAAAGAAATCTTTCCATTTCCCAAAAACATAATTAACGCCACCTCAAGTCTTTGGTATTGAGAATTGGAGACATTCAGTGTGTTTTTCAGATTAGTGTAAACTCTTTGTTCTGTGAATGTGGTCACATTTTACTATGAAATAAAACTTAAAAGTGTCTTTACAGATGTATAGAAGTTGGTTACCATTGAAAAAAAAGGTGTTCTTTGCTCTGTAAAGGCTTTGAAAGTGCAGAATATTCTTAATAATCAAGCCTTTTGTATTGGAAGATCTATCTGAAAAGTGGAAGAGAAATGAAGTGCATTGCTGGGATGAATGCAAACTTTCACAACCTTTTTTAGCATGTCAAAGTTAAGGTTGTTAATGATACGAAGATGTTTCCACTTTACTAATAAAACTTAGATTTTATTTGTTACAGTACTAAATACAAAGTTTTAAATGATGGTCAGGGTGACCATTACTTCATGCCACTCTTTTTTTTTTATTCTAGGAAATAAGAAAGAAAAACAGGGGTCGGAAGTACTGACTATGTTGCTCCAGGCCTTAAAAAATATTGTTAGATCAGATTCTCTTCCTGTGCAGAAAATAGTGGTAAGTTGGGTGGGTTTGTCCGTTTTTAAAACCTTATTTATTTCTGATGGTTTAAATTCTGATTGGTGGCTTCTAACTTCCCAGAATGGTATCCTTAAGAGAGAGAGCTTTTTTGGTGTAAATTTTTAAGTTACGCAATTCTCGTCAGATGACATTGCATTGCTTAAAGATTTCTTTCTTTACAGGCTTTTTTTTTTGAGATTTATCAGCAATCTTCACAAAATCGGGTACATGGTTCTCCTACCAGAACCTTCTTCAAAGCACAGTTACTTTCACGATAGATTATTTTGTTTTATTACTAAAGGGAAGCAACTGTTACAATTTTGCTTTTATTTGTGGTGTTATTTAAAATACTCAAGCTTTCAGGCAATAAATTCTTTCATACGTTTACTTCTTTTCTCTTACTTAGTCCCTGATTGATATTACTGTTAAGGAATTGCCTCAAAAAGTATTGGGATCACCAGCTTACCAGCTTGCTGATATGGATCTTTTAAATGTAAGTCTGACTTCATTCCAGAACGTTCTTTTATTTGTGCTGAAAGGTGTTAAGCTGTCATGTTTGCACAGACGTACAGAGCGCTTCCCAAATTGTGAGATCCAGGGCTTTCAGGAAATTGTTTTACTCCACATTTCAGAACACAGGCTTTGTTTCCAGCCCTCACTTCTCACAACTAATTTAATTATCTAACTAAAAAGGAACATACTGAAAGTACTGTAATAACAAAAGAGGATTTCTCATGTTCAGGTCGTGATTTAAAATAAAGGTTTTGGATGCTTTACGAGGAGACTGCGTACTCGAACTGTGGAGTACTGCTTCTGTACTGTCAGTGAAGTACCTAAAGATGAAAAGCGATCCTCTGCTGGAAAAATGAAGTGCATGGAAGCAAAGCAGGGAATATCACACTAGACAGCTTTATTTTAGAAAATTTTCAGAATTCTGAACTTAATCAGTCTGTTGCAGAAAAAGTGGTGATGTTTGTTAATAGCGAGAGCTGCTCTGGCCTAATGAGCCCCAACGTGGGGTGTTGCACCCTGCTGCCTGTAACTGGATTGGGAGGGAGAATCATGATGGCCATCTAGGAAGTAACCACAAGAACAGCCTGTGAGAAAAAGGCTGTGAGAAAAGACTGAAATGACACCAGTTGGTTTTTTGTGTGTGTGTTTCTTTTGTGTGGAGCGGAGCAGAACAAGTGGGGGCATACTACTGGTTAGATTAATTAAAAGTTTAAAAGGTTGTTTAGAGACTTGGAAAGCCGAATGATGATCAGCTCTTCTACATCCACCAGTAGATAGAAGGGAACTTTTTTATTCTGAGGTAGTGGAAATGGGGATTTTTAAGCCTATAAAGCTAAAGATTATATTTAGCTCAAGTTACATAGTTATCCAGGGAGTGCATGGAATTTGTTTGGAGTCTCTTAAAAGCAGACAAATACCCGTGAGAGGAGATCTAAGTGTAACAAGAGTAAGCGAATGCTTCAACTCAAGAGAGTAGTGTAAAACTGTGTCAGCCAGAACTGGCCGAAGAGCTCTTAAAATTCCTCCCAGATCTCCCCCTTCCAAGTATTTTCCTTGTGTTTGGAGGCTTTTTCTGACTTAGGTACAAGAGAACTTGCTTAGGGTCGTTGAAGTTTTAACTGGCAGGTATTAAATGCTTTTTGTTACATACTTGAACATTAGCAAACCTGAAATACTTGCGATAGATTTTAACAGGGATTGCCCAACAGATGTCTTGCTGAAACCTTGCAATAAAGCAAAAGTTGTGTTACTCTATCTTGTTCCCGGTGTTGCTTGGTTTTTTTGAGGCAGTAATGATTATAAAGTTCTGTAAATCTCACAGCCTTTTAAACAGAAGAGTTTTTTGCTTCAGTTGTAGTATAACTGATATTCTGCTGAAGTACCAGGATCTAGCAGAAGCCAGTTTTCAGCTTTCCCTCTCGTTTTTATTTTCATGTGATAGAATTGACAATTTTTAACCATTTTTAACAGTTGCAGATTTCTACCTTGGAGTTAAATATAGTGTATAGCCATGCATATAAGTGAGGCAAGCATTTAATTTGATCAACATCTATGTCATTCTGACCTTTCAAATTTCTCTTACAAGGGAACACCAGCTTTATTCTTAACCGAGCTGCCTTTCCACAACAACCTCTTGGAATGCTGCGTAACAGATGAGAGGTACTGTTTATAACAACTCTCCCATAGAAGACTTCATAGAAGTTTGTTTTTCCCAACTTCAGCTGAAAAAACCATCTTACTTGTTTTACTTTCTTCCCTAGATTCTTTGTAATTCTTGAAACGCTCGTGGGTTATGTTCTGTCTGGGCCTACATCTCCCCTGGCTTTCAGTGAATCCGTGATCTGCATTATTAATCAGAAGGCAAAGCAAGTGAAAAACAAGGAGCATCTTTGGAGAATGTGGAGTATCGTTGTTAACCCGCTAACCGAGTGGATTAACCGGGTATGGTGGCTTTTTTGTTCTCTTCCCCATCTCCCTCTCTGCTGTGTCAGAAAAAGCACTGATCGTGTATCTTAATGTATTTTTAGGAACAACGTGTCTTGAAGCGATAGTAAAATTCAATAAGCCTTGGTAGTGTTTGTGAAAATGGAACGTGGCTCTAAGCCTTCAGTCCTTGGCACAGACTTGCTCCTACAAAGGATGGAACCTGCCCTCAAGGACATGTTAGCTTTTAAGCACCAAGAAGCTCATTTGCTTCATGTGTAAATGTAATAAATACTGAGTTGTGACCTGTAGGGTGTGATTAGGACAGTGTTTCTTAGTGTTAGACTCGTTGATAGAAAGCCATATAAACTGTAATATTCAACAGGTTCTGCAGATCACTTACTAGAAGTGCCCTGACTGGAAGGTAGGAGTTGTTGGAGTTGATCCTCAGGTAGTCACTAGACCTGAAAAGCTTAGAATTTATGGAGAAAGTCTTAGCTGCGTTAAGTAGGTTGATGTCGTCACTTACTGCAACTGAAATAAGTAAAAAATACATCAGACGTTTTCTAACTGATTGGTTTTATTCTTGGAGTTAAGTTATTTTAGAATTTATAAACTGGTTTTTATCTCATTAAGTAGTAGGATCAACATGAACTCTTGAAAGAATGGAGAGCATTTAATTGCAAAATGCCAGCTTGCACGATAAATATATTTAGAACAGCCTTATTTGTCATCTAAATTTTGCAGCTTTGTTAATCAGGAAATTGTTTTCTCCTTCCAGACTAATGAAGTGAATCAGGGTGATGCGCTGGAACACAACTTCAGTGCTGTTTACAGCGCATTGCTGCTGCCGGTATCACACCTCTTCCCCGTTCAGGAATTCCCACAGGTAACAGTGAATTAATAATCCATTAGAAACAATGTGACTGAATGAATTCATAAATGAACTTATAAAAATGGTGAAATACTCTCTGATAGTCCCAGAGTAGAGTGTGTTGCTAATATGTGTGTGCATTGGACCAGTGCTCCAAGGCTGGATTTCTTGAGTTAGGTAGGTTTTGAAGAAGAAATAAATTACTCTCTCAGTTGATATTTATAAACTTTTTCTTTCTGTTGTTACAGCCAACTATGAAATCCTTGTTGCGCACTTGGTCAGACCTGTACAGAGCATTTGCTCGCTGTGCCGCTTTAGTTGCGACAGCCGAAGAAAACCTGTGCTGCGAAGAACTTTGTGCCAAAATATTATCTGGGCTAGAAGGTGAAACTCCAGTAGTGAGTATAAACCAGTGATACTGAACTATATAAATACTTTAGTAGATATATTTTAAAATATAACAACCTACTGTAAACTCTGTTGTAGTGCTTTCTGTAACTTAAAAGTGTTTTGGGCGAGAAAGTCGTAACACAGTTCTTTTTGCTCACAGGACTTGGAGTTGAGCTAGGAATGGGTTGAAAGAAGTAAAGTGTAAATATTCAGATAGCAGTTAAGCAGTCTTTGGATTTGTCTTCTAATTGCTTAAGTGATAATGGTTTAGTGAATGTTATCATTGTGGTAAATATGATTTGTCCAGCTGAAATATTTGTGTGTATATGTATAAACTAACTTAAGGTTAAATTAAATGCCAAAAAGCCAGGCATTTTGTTAAGGAAAGAGGATAGAGTAGCACTGCAGCTTTTGGAGGGGATTTTGCTGTATTCCTGGTGTCGTCAGTCTTGTACACGAAAATTTCAAGACTAGTTATAAAAGAGAAAGCTTTTGAAAGGGGAAGCCTTTCCGTTATCTGTCTTGCCTCTTCGCAAGCCCCTGTCATGTGGGGAGACAGAGTGTCAGTGAACGTTAGCCTTGGAACATAAAATCATGCTTCAAAGCTGTCTTTTGAAAAAATACCCTGAAAGGAACAAATAAGAAACAGATCAGAAAAGTAGAATTTGAAAAATGAGGAAATGGGAGGAGTACATGATTATAACTTCCTTTGGATGCTGCTGTATCCTAATGATAAACTATTTTCAAAAATTAATGATTATTCATTTCAGAAATTAATTAAGCAAGCCAAACTTGCGTACTGATGCTCTAAATTGTTCAAGTTCCATTAAAACAAAATGATTTTTTTGTCCAAGAATATCAATGTTCCTTTAAAAAGCAAGTTTTCTTTTATTTAAAAGAATTTGTGATGGATTGTGCAGGCGGTAAAGAACCCCCACGTTGACCCATGGTTTTGAATGTACCATAAATCGATCATGCTTCTGTCGCTGTTTCTGTTCTTGGCCTTTGCTGATGACTTTGTTTCCTCCTCAGAAGTTACCGATGATGGATGGTCTCACCCACATTGTGTCGGTTATGGCTGACTGCATCAACTTTGCCCCGTATGGTACTAAATATCAGCCGAAAAATAGATGTAAGTAGATACTTGAATGTTGGAGTTTTCTGTGTCTTTCTTCCAGACTTGGTTGAAAAGAAGAGTTGCTGTAGATGTGGAAGTGATGACTGTAGGGTATCAGTGGTCTGTGTGTCCTGCACATGCAAGCACTAAAGGGAATGACACACACACAAAAACATAAAATTGTGAAAGGGAACTAAAAATGTCAGCCCTTAGTGCGTATTTGACTATCAGATCTCTTCCCTTTGAACAGTTGTGTAGTTACTGCATAGCCTGACAGAATACATCTGCAGTTGATGTAAATAAAATTTACAAAAAAAGCCAAACCAAACAAAAAAAAAAATTAAACCCCCAAACTTTTCAGTGTAAACCACTGCTGGTTTCTAAAGTTTTAGTTAGTGTTTTGCCTATGATTTCATTTTCGTGCGTGAAATTGGCTACTTGTGATTTGCTCAAGCATAATCCAGAGCAGCAATGCTTGATCATAATCTACAATCTTCATTATATCATTCCTGCCTAAAACTGATGATCAGCCATTAACAAAACATTTGCGAGGCTACTGCTCCTGAAGCTGCTTTGCATAAAGTGTTAAAGAATAAGTTTAACAAGACAATTGTATGTAAAGGGTTCTTTTTTTTTTCCTACTCCCATTTGCAACTACTAAAACGGAAGAAACAATTAACCAAAGAAAGTAATTCAGTATAAAACTTGAAGTGTTTATAATTTCTTCGTTCCGTGTGAAGTTGTTAAAGTGGCAAGACCTTGTGTTGGACCGCTGAAAGAATGAAATGTTTTACTTAGAAATGTTGATGAGGAAAAACATGATGGAAAGTTTGCTTATTAATAAGTAAACTAAAAAAACCACACAACTTGCTATTCTGTTCCCCATTCCTCACCTCTTCCGGAATTTAAGTGCATCAGTTAGTATCTGTAGAAAGCTCCCTGTCTCTTGACATTAAATATATTTAAAAGCATGATCATTTCTATGACCAACCATAAATATAATGAAGAGGAAGAGGAGGCATACATGTAGTGGCATGATAAATTTACATATTAAAAAATGTGTCTCCTGTTAGATCTGGTTTTAAGCTATTTCTATACGGCTAAAGTTCTGTTTCTCGTGTCAACAAAAAGTTCGGATGTTTTTTATTGTAATGCACATTGGTTAGATAAGAAAAAAATTACGTTTTTTTAATATTAGCTCCACAGACACCTACAGATTGGTCTAAGAAGAAAAAGGAACCCCTTGGAAAGCTTGCCTCTCTGTTGAAACTCCTGGTGATGTTACTAAACTCTTTCCATGTGTTCAGTTCCAAAGAAATCTGTTCAGAAACATTGGTCTCTGTTGGTCCTTCAATTATTGCTATTCTTCACAACATCATCAGCCACGTTTCATTGCCTTCAGTGATCGGGACTATGTTTGCAATTTTTTCAAAACCCCTGGCAGTGTTTTATGAAAGAACAAAGTGAGTATTTTGAGAACGGTTGGAAAACTGGGCTCATTGTTTTGCTGCATCTTAGTGAAATTTTGTGTGGTCTGTAGCGAGCGCTGTGTCGAAGGTGCTTTGGGAGTTTTTGGGGCTTTGGCACTAATGTGCTGAAGAATTTTCAACTCTTGCCTTTGAGAGCACCACGTATTTTACTGGATTCGGCCTCAAGAGTAGGACTGGGTGTTGTAGGGCTGTGAGGTCAGCGCTGAGAACCGGCTCCTTTTTACAATTCCTGCATAAAACTGGCCTTGCTGGGGCTGAGCCTGCCGGGGCAGCATGACCGGCGCAGCGTGGGCGCGTTCCCTTCCCAGTTCAGTGACTTCCAGTGGGATTCAGAAACCTGTGCATGTGGGTAGCGGTCTCCATTGTCATGCTTTTCTCTTGAAATAAAGCCAAGCTTACCCAGTCACACATGAACGGAGACCTGGCGGGTTTCTGAAAACTTGGAATTTAGCGTGACTGGCTGTTCAGAGTGAATGTGTTGTCATCTCTGCAAAACTAGACTGGTCGGCTTCCACCTGCTGCTTATTTTCCCAGCGATGACGATATTAACAGTAATTTGTTTTCTGGCATGCAAGAAGGGCATAAATCTTTGTAGGAAAAAGAGAAATGTTGGTGGAAGTACACTGGAAAAAAACCTGTAAGTTTTGAATTAGAGGAAAGTACTGAGAAAGGCTTGTTGCTTTTTTTTTTTTCATACGGCTTTTTTATTTTTTAATCTCTGTCTTCTCAGGACAGGGTGGAATTGTTAGGGCCTTGGTGGGAGGGGACTGGCAGAGGCTTGTCTCCGATTTGTTCATGGCATGAGAGATGTACGCTTTGCTCAGGATAAGCACAGCCTCGAGCGTTTTGGGAGGGGGGAGGGTAGGATTAGATGCTGCCAGTCAGCCCATACGTGTTTTCTGGAGGCTTTCACTGAAACTTGAAGCAGGACTGCTGCTCCAGAACAGAAATTGATCAGGAGTCCTCATATCGGGGACAAGAATCCGCTTGTTCCTGCATAAGGCTGACTTGATTGCCACCTCTCTCCATCTCCCATCTCATCTGCCTTTGTTTAAACATTGTCTGTCTTAGAACTAGTCATTTAAAGGGAGAAGCGTGTGATGGATATATATATTTTTTGAAGGAGGGCATCTGCAAGCCAATACAAGTTTGGGAACCTTTTCAGGTTGGAGGTCAAAGGCTTGAAAAACAAATTACTGAATGTGGTTTTCTCACATTTTTCAGGACGGCGTGCCTAGGGACTTCTTTATGGGGATTTACCTAGTTTGGGTGATACTTCAGCTTTTGGATGAAGATATTTAGGGGGCCTGGGAAATCTGTTTATGGAGAGGGTTAAGAGCGATGCAAAGAAGGCAGATGGAAGTTACTTCAGAAGAAAACCTTTAAGTTTGTATTAGTTCCTACCCACCTTTCCATTAGCTTCTCTTCAAGTATCAGTGCGACTAAAGGACAGGCTTTCTTGAAATTACTTACAACAGGGAATTTTTTTAATCGCCCAATGGGTGGCTTGTTTCACAACATGATTTCATCAAGTTGTATTACTGAAACTCGTGTATGGTGCTTGAGTGCATTATATGTGTGATTCTTATGCTTGGGCTAAACGAGACGGCAAAATATAACTTTTTTTGTTTATTTTGGCAGGCTTGCTGATGTATCTAAAGTATACAGTAATCTTAACAACAAGGTAAATTTGCTAGAGAAATAGTTTGGGTTTGGGGAAAATGTGTGATGCTAGAGTTTTGCCATTAATCATGTATTCTTTAAGAAAATAATTGTAAGGAAGGTAGAGGTTCAAATTTTTAAACAATTTAGCTTTTTGCTAAAATTAGCTTGTTAGACTTTCCACATGACGTGGCATTTAAACTTGTTTATTCAGGCCATGCTATTCCATGGGATAACAACATTTAATAAAATGTTTTAAACTTTTAAATGGTTCCTGTGTGCAGCATTGGAATTAAATAAAAAAACCTGATTTTTCTTCCCTCCCTTCAGCTTGAAAAGCTATTGGCAGAGATTTTCCTGTGCCTGCAGTCTCACTGCATGGGTGCTTACGACAGCGAGCTGCTGGAGCAGCTCTCGCCCTTGCTCTGCGCGATGTTTCAGCACAAGAGCAAACAGATCCGCAACCAGTGTGCCCAATTCTGGAATGCGACGTTCGCCAAGACCACGTCCTTAACGTACCCTGAGGAGTTAAAGTAAGACACGTGGTTATTTCTATTTATGTATTGATAAAGAAAGAGATCTTGGGCTGTGTGGGAATGAAGTGGTGCTGCTCTGGTTGCCATTTCTGTTCTGCTTTTTTGGGGGATCTCTGCTGGCCTTCTGCTTCTTCCTCCCGACCCCACCTGACTTTGAAATCCTGTTTTGTCGAGCAGATCCGTGTTAAGCCAAGCCAAAAAGAACATTCCGCTCTTGCTGCCTGGTTTTCAAAGCATCGAGTTAGCTGAAGACTACAGCGGCCCCTTCTCTGATACGGTAAATATTTTGTTGAGCCCAGCGGGTGCTTCATTGTGCGTAATGTTACGGGGATTGCACTGAAGGCAGCAGCGAGGTCCGTTTTGATTTTGACGGAGATTGACCTGTGCTTGCTTCACGTTGGAATGATAAGCCATGCTGGGTAAGCGCTTGTCAAAAGAGTGAGCTGGTTCTCAACTGCTTATGCATTTTAAATCTTGAAATTGTTTGAAGTAATTATTTTAAGTTGTCCTCAGTAATTTAGAGGAAAATGGGAGTTTGGGACAGCGTACTTGTCAGAGTGAATACACCTCGGGAATATGTGTGTGAGCTTGGAGTTTCTCCATACAACACGCTCCGTGTCTTTTCACTTGAGTAGATGGAGAATTCACAGCTGGATGCAAAGATAAGTGGAATGGAAGTGAAGCTGGGGCAAAAACGGGACCCTGTGTCGACACAGACAAGCGAACTAAAAAACGAAGTAAAAAACAAGCCCAATAATGTGCAAGTAACATCTGCAAAGGTAAGACATAACAGATAGGTTTCTCTATAATAGATTTGATTCTTCTGCAGCAGAACATCTCCTGTGCTGCTCTAAATTCTCAGTGGTTCCCTGGTTCCAGGTTGGGACAGATTCCGATGTTAAGGTCGGTTTTGGTTAGACCTGTGCCACGTGCTCCAAATCTGACCCTGGGACCAGGGGGAGAAGGGTGTTGTAGTCTTAAGGAATTGATGATTTTTATTTTTTTTTGTAAATGACAATAAATAATAAATCCTTGTAAGCATTGAGGTGCCTTCACCTGTTCCAGCTGTTGGACTTCTTGTTTCTAATCCAGTTTTTTTTCTTCTTTCTGCAGTTAAAACTAGATTTTTCATCTTCAAAGACTAAAAGCGAGATCCTCCTGGAAGAGGAGAAATCTGTCGAGTTTGTGTTTATTCCTCCAGAAACAAAAGCAAGAGTATTGACAGAGCATCAAAAAGAAATGCTTAGGTCAAAGAGGTGTGTAATTTATTCTACTTTAATATGGAACATCGTTACATTGCGTATGTCGCGTGGACATAATTCTTACTCTTACATACAAGTTACAAAGTTTAAAGCTAACAGAGCCTCTTGCTTTGCTATTTTAAACCGACCAAGTTATTCTCTGATCTGCTTTTCCTGTTGTGATTAAATATACTCTGTTATCTGCTCAGTAATTTAGAGTTTACGTTTTTCCTTCGTGACTCTCACTTGCAGCGTGAGGTGGAAGCTGGCATATTTCTCAAATGCTTGCAATGAGGGGGTTTTACTAGTTGATCTGAAGGAGAAGTTTCTAAATTCAAAGTCTTACATCAGAAATAAGGAGATTCCAAAATCTCCTATTTTTATTGCAAGGGAATCTTTTTAGAATTACTCTCTTTTTAATGTGAGAAAAAACTACTAAAGTATTTTCTGTATGTGGGAGTTTATTTTGTGCAAGTATCTCCTCTCTTGTCCTAAATGCTTGTCTGTTGGGGGTTTTTTTTAAATTTTTTTTTTTTTTAAGAGTGTGACTTAGCATTTCCGGTTGTGTTTCAGAGTTGACGTTCCTGCTATGTACAACAATTTGGATACGTCGCAGGACACAACCTTATTTTCTCAGTATACTCAAAGCCAGGAAGATTCTTTGTAAGTGAAGGTGACCTGTATGTACACTAAAGGTGTCCCCCTTTTCTGCCACACTGCTAATTCAAGTAACTTCTATTTTAGGGAAAAATCGTCCTTAATAGAAAATGCACAAGAAGATACTAAAAACAAATCTCAGGTAATTTCTCACTGTCTAATGGTAATTAAGGTAGTGGAGTTATAGCCGTCCCAGTGATTTTTTTTTTTTTTTTTTTGGTCTTCATAGTAGTAGTTCTGGTAATAAATGGCAAAACTCTCTGTTACTGACTATGATAGGGTTTTAAAATTGATCTGGAAACTCTTTGAGTTAAAAAAAAAAAAGGTACTCCCATAGGTATTGGCTCACAGGAATAATTTTCTGTATTGATTAACCACTAAAATTCTTGATAATATTTTTTTTTTTCTGTTTTCTTCTTGGGCTTCCTCTCGTTTTCCCACATGTCAATAAACGGGCCCCGTGTCTATAAAATACACTGGTGGCTTTTGAGATTTGTATTTCACACTCGGGTTTGATTCAACACCAGTGCAGCACTCTTGGTGCTGCTTTATAGAATTTTACACTGGAAAGGGCCAATCATTAAGCATTTTTGACTTAACTTCAAAACGAGAGGGTATATGTGATTAGTTTTAGTGTGGATATATTTAAGTTTTGTGTTACAGGGACATTTCACGTAAAAAATTCAGCAAAACATTTGTGTTTCGGGATTAAATGACTTTAAAAAGAAATTTAAAAGAAATCTTTGTCTTTTATAACTGTTGAAGAGCAGATAATAAAATAATTTGAAGGAGGGGTGGTTTGAAAAGCCTTATGGGTGTGTCATTTCATATTCCACCACAGCTGTTTTTTTTAATATTGTACTTACAGCAAAACTACAAACCTTTGCTGTTCTGTATTTTTGTGACAGGAAGAAAACACAAAGAGCGAAGGATGTGCCAAAGAATCGGACACAGTTGCGGAGGACGGCAGATATGATAATCCTCTCGGGAGCTCTGCCGGTGTGAACAAGTCGTCTGTTACTTGTGCGGAGGGAGAGTCAAAAATTGGGGAGGCAGCTGAAGTGCCTCTGGAGGAGCCATCTATCGGAGAGGGGTTAGAAAAAAGCACTGTGGAACCTGTTCCAAAGGAGCCTTTGGAAGGGAACGAAAACACTTCAAACGCCAGCAACAGCTCGACGTCGAGTGACGTCATTTCTGGAACGCCGCAGCCCGTGAGCCGGCGACAGTCTTTTATTACTTTGGAGAAATTTGGGAGCTCGGAGAACAGACCCTTTAGCCCTTCAGTGTTAAACAGTTTATCAGAAACTTCCGGAAGTGCTTCCGCTAAACAGGAGAATATGCACATAGGCAAGACTAATGCGAAACCAGAAAAGTCGGTAGAAGAAAATAAAAAGCTTTCCAAATCGGAGCCTGAACAAGTCTTCACTGCCATACGAAGGCTGACGCGCCGGCAGAGTAAAATGGAGCAGCCGTGGAATAAGCAGTCCAAGTCGTTAAATAGGTCAGACCAAGAGAAAAGCACCCAGGAATCGTTTCCTTCCAACAGCATGGTAGATAGTTGTGAACTGTCTTCTGCAATGGAAGACGTGGAAAATATTCTCCTGGCACAGTCCCAGGCTCTCCATTCTACGGAAATTGATATTAAAAAAGTGGAAGATACGATAGCAGAAATGGAAAGCGAGCGAATGGTAGATACAGATTCAAAAGAAAATACACCCCCAGAGACAGCGGTGTCGTCTGAGCAGGTGGCAGGCGATGACAGTCAGGTTCCACATGCGTCTCCTAATCAGAAAATATTAAGACGTTCTTCAAGGCGACGGTCAGAAACTGTAGATGGCACAGCAGGTAGTCAAGATAAGGAAGATGGCCACCAAAGGAGAGACAGGCGTAGAGAAGATGAAAAATCTGGGCAAAAGAAGGTGCCGCAGACTGATGGAGCCGAAAAGTCGAAAGCGGTTTCTGGGAAAACTCTAGAACGTGCCGATAAAAAAGAAAGCAGCCTACCGGAGAGAACAGCTGCAGAGGACTTCAGCTCAAAGGAGTCTCCTGCTTCAGGGGGCCTCGATGAGGAAGCAAACGGAAGCGCGAGGAGGTCAGAAGATAACTGTAAGGCTGACGTGGAGGATCAAGACTGTGCCTCGAGTGCATTAGGTCAGAAGAAGGTGGAACGCCCGAGATACCACACGAGAAGAGCCTCGCAGGGGTTACTCTCCAGCATAGAAAACTCTGAGGCTGATGGCCCCGAGGCCAAGGAAGAAAGCACAAGGAAGAAAAAACCTGCAAAAGTGAAAACCAGAAGTGATTCTCTTGATGGTAAATTGAAAGATCTACAGCCAGGAAGCCATCAACTTGAGGCATCTTCCCAAGAAAACAAAACTAAGAATTTGGTGGAAGCAAATCAGGGTGTGCCATGCCATGGGGCTGGCACGGATCCTGTTCCCACACCTGAACCCCGTGACTCAAAAAACCAAGTAATTCCTGCAGACACTGGCAAAGCTGCGGGATCCACCAGCTCGGAGAATTCTCCTGATGTGCATAACACCACTGTGGAACAGAACAAGAGTGATACGGTGATGGAATCATTCGCCAGACCGTGTGTATCTGATCAAGATGTGGAAGTGGAAGAAAATAAACACGTTGAGAAGCAAACAACCGCAGAAGATTGTTGTTCACCTGCTCTGCCTGAACACGCACCAGGAGCAAATGCTTCAGGCGGTGATCTCTCCTCTGCACCCGAGTGTCAGCACAGGAGACGCAAAAGGCCAAGAAGGCTAAAGAATTCCGACTGCTCTTTTAAAAAGCTGAAGCACGAAGTAACGTCGTTCGCTGAATCCAGAAATGAGGACACTCGTGAGGTGATCGAGCCCCAGGCCACCCCAGGTCAGACATCTGTATGTATGTCAGAGACATCTGGTAGTTCAAATTCTGATGAGAGCTTGTCCATGGCACCTTGCGCCATGAGCACGCCCTTGCATGCTCCCAAGGAACCTGGCGGGTTCGACTTGGGGAGAACATCTGGAGACGGTCTGCAGGGAAACAGCGTTGTGGCGGAGGAGGATCTGAAGAATCCTCAGTGCGCAGCAGCAGAAATCGCTGCCTCTGTAGTGGAAATTAACGAACCTGCTGATCGGAACGACTCAACTGAGCAGGGCCTGCCTGAGGGGGTGTTGGGTGAGGCTGGTGACAGCTGGGTGGCTGCAGGGACACAAAGGGAAGAACCAGTGGCTCCAGGAAAGGAGGAAGTGGGTCAGGATGGGCAACTGGAGGAGATACCTGAGGCACTGCTTGATCACAAACCTGAGGGAAGACCGATGGATGAGCTAGAAAGCGAAGGTGCTGAAGCAGAGAGTTCAGTAGAAATTCAAGATCAAGAGATAAAGGAGGAATTGGTGGAAACTGAGATCACAGTGCCTGAGAACGTGGCCTTAGATGGAGAAGATGGAGTAGAAAACACAAGTGCGGATTCGCCTCAAAAGCCGCAAGATGGTGATTCTTTAGCGTCGGTTCATGAAAGTCCCAATGGCATGCAGGCACGCTGCTTGTGGTCTCCTTCAGCTTCTCCGTCCACGAGTATTTTAAAGAGAGGTGCCAAAAGAAGTCAAGACGACGATTCCCTGTCGCCCGCTAATAAGGTACGGCCGTGTGATTTGTTCTGTGCTGTTCACAGGCCAGTCAGCTTATGAGCGGGACGTGGTCTGGGCTCCGTAGTGTAAGGAGCTCCAGAGAAGTTGAATTATTGACTGTATTTTTCATTGCAAGCGAGCTCGCGCTGAAGTTGAAGACTCACGGGTTTCTTTTGGGAATGTATAAGCGCTGACAGACTTGTGTCCTCGGGACTTGGGGCGGGGAGTTTTAATCTGCAAATGCTACCGCTGTGGCCAGGGGCTTCCCAGTGGAGTCTGAGCAGCTTTTTACAAAATGCATTTAATAGTTCCTTCAGTAGTTTGTGTCTTTGGGTGAAACATCATCTGTGTCATTGGAGAACTTGAACAGACTATTTTTGTATGAGCTATTCTACAACTTCCTTCCCCGGGCTGTGGTGATTCGATTTCACACCATAAAACCTACTTTTCTCTACAAACAGATTCGTCGAGTCTCTTTCGCAAACCCAATTTATCAGGAGGGACTGGCGGACGACATCGATCGGAGAAGTCCTATCATTAGATCCCATTTTAATTCGCCTTCTTCCCGGAGCCTTAAAATTTTGTCTAACGTTCAGGTGAAGGTAAATTCCGTTACGTACGTTCTGTCTGTCCTAGGGACTTGCACGTCTTACTTAGCGTAGGCAGCGTTGCCTCAGCACCCATCCGTAGTCACTTGCAAGCGGTTGAAAGAGCAGAGGATCAGAAGCGTAAGAAATAGTTGCGAGGGGTTTAGCCGGACTCGTTCTGTTACTCTCTGAAGACAAATGCACTCTGAGATCTAAAGAGGTAGAATCTTGCCGTTCACTGACTTCCTGCGGTCCTGAGAGATCTTTTTTCCTCTTTTTCTATCCAGCACATTACCACTCCAACCAAAGGATTTCTGTCCCCAGGATCTCGTAACCCTAAATTTAAGAGCTCAAAGAAGTGTTTAGTAAGAAGTGCTTTCATTCACATATCTCTTCTAATTTTTTTTTTGTTTTCCCCCTGTCTTAAGTAGCGCGATAGTTAATCTAACAATTTTTTCCGTATTTATTCAAGATCACGGAAATGGCGAAGGAATCACTGCCTTCCCCCACGGAATGTGTGTATCCTGCCTTGGCCAGCTGCCAAGCCCCGGTGGATGTCATTTTACCTCAGATTACATCCAACATCTGGTGAGCGCGTTGTTGCTTTTGAAGGTGACGTTCTTAACCCACAAAAATAATTTTTTAATGCCAAATGCCGATGGTTTCAAGATGTCTTTTACCAAAATATTTTTCCAAAGGATGGGGATGGGTTTGGTGGAGGAAAGCACTGTTGTGGAATGTACTCAAGTCAACTTTTCTGTAAGGCTCGGGAGAGCCTGTTGGATTTTCTTTCTGCCCTGCCAGGCAGGAAGGACACAAATCCCAGCGTCAAAAACCATTTTTTCTTTCTCCCCTGCTGCAGCGCCAGAGGCTTGGGGCAGCTCATCCGAGCAAAGAACATAAAGACAGTGGGCGACCTGAGTGCTTTGACGGTGTCAGAAATCAAAACTCTTCCCATCCGCTCTCCGAAAGTTTCCAATGTTAAAAAAGCTCTTAGAGGGTATCACGAGCAACAGGTAAAGTTTAATTTTAGTACTCGGAGAGCTGCTTGGGTCCGTCATGAGGAGTGATGAATTTTTTCTCCCCGTTAGGAATTAATTAGCACTTTAAAACGTAGTCTCTACCTGTCAGAGTAACGCGGGAACTCAAGTACGGTGATCTGGTTATGATGTTGTTAGTGGGAATAAGGATTGTATGCATTAGGAGGTTAAAACATGTCTCACCACCTAACCCTTTTTTATTATTTTCTTTTTTTTTCAATTTGAAAATGCATCTCTTGTTCTCTCCCCAAAAAAACCTTAGGCAAAATCACGAGGGTTTGAGGAAATAACAGTGCTTGAAGATACAGAAAAGCCCGTAAATAGCACAGAGGATAAATCTCTTCCTGGAGACGACGAAAAACTCGCAACAGGTACCTATGGCCACTTGGTGCTTAGGGTTCGGACGTTTCTGCCATGTTGCTGCTTTCCTTCTCTCCTAACGGGAATACTCGATTTTTATATTTTTTTTTTTGGTGGGTTTTGGTTTTGTGTTTGTGGGGTTTTTTAGGGTTTGGTTTTTTTTGAGAGAGGGTTAATAGCTCATTTGGTGGCTGGCTGAGTTAGCTGCTTTGTGAAGCCCTGTAGCATCGGCTTTTTTACTATTTGTACGTATTTTGATGGGAAGATGCTGTTTTCTCTTCAATGAGTTTGCATAAGCTTGTGAAGAACAAGTCAGGCAGGGCTTTGAGTACTTTATTTTCTGAATCTCAACCACGTGTGTGTCCTGGGCTGTGTAAAACCAGCGGAACTGCCATGGTTGGGGGCGTGCACGCCTTGTCCCACATGACGCCTCCCACTGAGCAGGTTGCTCAAAGCCCCGTCTGACCTGAATATGGTCAGATATTTTTGCTTCTGTCCTTAGTTCTATTTTATCATGATCAAATACAGTGAAAGTCACCATAAAGAGGGGTTGTAGCTTGGAGTTGTGAAGGCTGCCGTTGCGAGCAGCTCTCCTGACGCCTGGCACAAATCCTTTGTGTGTTACTTGGAACAAAAGAAGCCGCAAAGTCCCACTCGGGGATAAATCTGCTTTGATTTAAATGCGAAGGTGCCGACTGCCCTGCCCTACTCTCCTTCCTTTTCAGATTTGATCGAACCCGCTGTGGGGAATCCGAACGAGCAGCCCGCAACCGATCTCCTGAGCCAGATTGAGACCCTCGCGGCTCAGCTGACCTCGGAAGATCTTCACAGCTACTCGGGGAGCCAACTTTTCGAGATGCAAGAAAAACTCATCGGAATGACAAACTGTATCCTGAAGAACCTGCAGTCCCGCTGGAAATCACCACCCCATGAAAGTTGTGATTAGTTGCTTGTCATTCCTAAGGAAGAAGGGATTTTTTTTTTTTACAACAGTTTTCCCCCCATAAAAGATGCTTTTCTTACTGATGAATTATTCTCTGGATGGTGCATTTTGTACTACGGATTTTTTTTAACAGCTATGTGAGCAAAATGTATCGCGTTTTGGTTTCTTTTTTCATGTTTGTTCATTCTAATTGGTGGGATTGCTCGTTCCCCTGCCTTGCGTTGCTATGCATAGTTCTTTCAGGTAGCGAAAGAAAACTTTGATAAAGTTGTGCAATAGCAAAGACTGTGAAACCAAACCAACGGCATAGTTTAAATTATTTTTTTTCAAATCCGAAGTGTTCTTTCTGCCGCAAACTCTTATTATTTGGCAAGAGATCGATCTCGCAGCTCTGCTCATCCGCTGCCCTGGTTGGTTGCTTCCTTTTCTGTTGCTGACACTGACAGCAGCTCTCACTCTCTCTCACTCTCTCTCTCTTTCGCTCCGTTTTATATTGTGGTAACCCATGCTTCATTAATTAATTACAGCAGCTACAGTCCAGGAACCTGGAGTTTGACAACCGGCTGACATTGTTTTTTGTAAGAATCACACTACGAAGCTGCTGGTGAAATGTACCCTCACTGGGGTAAAGACTTGGCAAAACTTCTCAGGCTTTTTTCTTTGTTTGCAGCAGTTGCGCTCGCGTGGAGAAGATGACCTCCCCGGGGCAGGGAATGGGTTTGGCGAGAGCTCTTTGTATATTATGTACAGACTTATCATGGCAAATGTTGGTTGATAATTTATGGACGTTGGAGTTTTAATTGCATGGAATGCATTGCTGCTTCTCAGAGACCTTTGGAGAGAGTTCTCAGGTTTTACTATGGAAATCTGATTTGTATATATTGTACTGTAGCTCTCAGAATGGACATTTATTGAAAGGAAGTGGTGCAGGTTGTTTTAGAACTTACACGTGGGCAAATAAAACAGCAAATAAGTTCCCAAACTTGGTCATGTCATCGGTGCTTTGCTGTGTTCGGCTCTCCCTCAGCAGGGGTTTGGGCCTGCAGCGTTGGGAGAGACGGGCAGGTCATTGCTGCCACCTGAAGGCAGGAGGAGCAGGTCGTCGGGGCAGTGTCCTGTCAGCGAAACTAAATATTCTTTGCCCCGTTTATGCATCTCATGAAGCAAATGAACGGGACAAAGAGATGTTTTGGAGCTACACTCTGGGCAGTGCTGGGAAGGAGTTGGCTCAAGGTTTTTCTCGCTTTCTTAAAAATGTTATTTTGGTTTCATATCTGCGTCCTCAGGCTTGTTCAGCTCCTGCAGGCGGTGCAGGACCTGCCCTGGTGCGGAACATCCCTCGTGCAGCCAGGACGGGTGTTAAATGTCTTTTTGTGTACCCAGCAAACCCCCTCTGCTGCTGGTAACCCCAAACCCTGCTTTGAGGGGGGACATTCCCCTCGCAAGCTGGTCACGTAGCCCAGCGCGGGCTCTGTGTGTGCAGTCCCTTTGAACAAAGGTCTCCGAGTTAAAGATGACAAACAAGTAGAAGGCGCAACATTATCTTGGCCACAGCACGAAGCCTTTTCTTACTTCCTGCTGGCCTGGAGCCTGGCTGGTGCCTGATGCTCTTGGGAAATCGATTCCTGAGCATGAGCACGAGTAATTACATCAGCCGTACTGCAGAAACATCAGCTTTATTGAGTCACTAATTTACAAGTTATAACAGCTTTTGACCCCACAACAGTTGCATGAAAAACACGTGCAGAAGAGCTCAGCAAGCAGAAGGAGAGGAATTTTCGTTTGGGTTTGTTTGTTTATTTATTTATTTATTCTCCCCACCCAGCTAAATGTTTTTTGAGATACTAAGCTTAAATGTGGCTTACATGGAAAAGAAGTGAGTACAAACATTTTAAAATAGCCCAGAAAAATACTCTTGTGGTAATGCTCAATGCTCTTTGGGTTTGGGTTTTCTTTTTGATTGTTTTTTTTAAGTAAATATATAAGATTTCAGAGATGGTGAATGAGCTTGCAGTTCTAGGATAGTTAATTGTTGTGGTGGCGAAATGGAAGAAATCCTGTTGTCCTGCACAACACCTAGCAGTGTGTTTATAGAGTTTTCAAAAATATTTTGATATTTTAGGAGTACTTTTTTCTGCAGGTTTTGTTTTTTTTTTTCAATTATTATTATCATCTCACGTCACGGTCCGTAAGGTACTACCACCCCAGCAGGCAACAAGGCATTTTGTAACCCTTTTTCCAAACCCTTTTCCATGACTCACGCTGGGAGCCGTGCTGGTGGGTGCGCTCCACGGGGCGATGCGCTCTGGGGTCAGACGGCTTCGACGTAGTTGGCGGGCAGCATCCCCGTCTTGCCGGTCCTCTGCACCGTCCCGTACATCCAGCCTTCGTCGATCGCCTGCACGTTCACGATGGTGTCACCGTCTTTGAAGGAGACCTCGTCAGCATCAGCTGCCATGTAGTCGTACATGGCTCGGTAGGTCTTCTGTTAGTTTTAAGAAAGCAGGAGTGGGTAAAAAAAATAAATAAACAGAGACATTTATAGCCCTGCTGGCAGCCAGAGCTCGTGGTGAGAATCAAAATGTAAGAGCAGGCTCAGGGCAAATGATGTTTTGACTCATTTCCCTACTCTAGACGTGCAACTGCTGGCAGTACCTGTCTGATCTTTTTAAATCTGATTTCAGATCACAAAGTGTTTCTTCTCAATAACTCACTACCGTGGTGCCTCAGGTTAGAGCCTGTGTTTTAGTGACCCTGAAGCTGAACACAATGTTTTCAGTGTGCTGCAGGTGTGGTATCTCCAGCCAAAATGTCAGGGTATTGCCTCCCAGCACCTCTGGGTCGGTGACACCATACCCCCCCGTCATCTATTGATTCTAAGGCGCAATCTCAGGAGGAGGAAGCGCTAGTTTAAAGTTTTTAAGAAGGAGTGAGGCTCTGTCCCACTTCACTGAGTCTGCTACACCTTCACACGCTGGAGATTGGGTCTTAACACAAGGGCTCGAGGTTACTTACCCCAGCGGTAGAGGGGTGAGAGGGAACCGACGACACCGTTGTTTGCTGGGTGGCGACTGAAGACGACCGTTGTTGTGGCAACTCGATGGTTTTGGCATGTTTGTAGCCCACTGCAAAAGGAAAATACAGTTGTTTTTGGTGGTGTTTATTACTGAATTGGGAATAGGGTTGGAGTTGGTCTTGATACTGGGACAGGTCAGCAGGTGGGTCAAATCTGCCCTTTATCCACTTGAAATACAACTGTCGGGTATGTTCAGAATTCAAAGCTTTGTGGGTGTGCTGTGCTTTTTTCCTTCTGAAAGAAATTGCTGAACACGAGTCCATATCCAGTACTGTCGCAACAGATGCTCTGGATACCGTTTGTCCTCACAGAAGAGTAAAACAGCGTGCTTGTTCTCCTCCTACCTGTTGCAGTTGTGGTAAAGAAGCCCCCGCTGCTGTAGTAGGACAAGTGTTGATCCACGCCATCCGACGGTTCGGATTTCTCGTCGCCGCCGCTGATGCTCAGGGCGCTGGCGGAGCGGGAGTGCTCCCGACTGCGGCGCTGCGCTTGCACTGCAACGAGAAAGCAGCAGGAGCCGAGTCAGGGCTTGGGCTTGTAAGGAACTGCACGCAAAAATACCTGTGTGTGTACATCTGTATGTGTATATACATACACGGGTCACTGTGTGGGTGCGTGTGTATATATACATACATACACACACATACATATATGTCCCTGTTATCTTTAGTAGTCACTTCTTTTTTTGCTTTCTTCAACCTCTTTAGTGCTCGCTGCTTCCAAAACTTTGATTCCGAGTATCCTCTGCTTCCTTTCCTCAGCTGACACAGGTCTGAGCCATGACTGTTCTATCATTCACAATCCATCTCTTCTCAAACAATTAGCAGGAAGAGAATTTAAATTAAAAAAAAATAAATTAACAGAACAACAGCATTTTTAGTTACCCCACTAACTGTGGATCATCGAACTAACCACAGAATAGCTTGATTGGAAAAGACCTTCCAGATCACTGAGTGCAATCATTAACCAATCATCCCTGTGCTGCTGTCAGATCACTTGTATTTAATAGCAAGATTAAAACATTGTTTTTGAGAAATGGCTGTTAAACATCTAGTTATGTTTATGGATTTGGACGAGCATAAACCCTATTTTGCACAAAGAGGAACAAACCAGAGATCATGTGTAAGCTCCGGGACTGAATATTGTCTTCTGCGGGGTCGTAGTCGAAGACTGAGCCAGGATTCGTGCGCCACACGCGCAGGCCTGTAAGAGAAAGAGCCTTTGCTGAGGAGAAGCTGTTGCCCAAACTGTTTAAGACCTTGAGCAGCCACACATCTGGCTTGAAGGGGAGTACAAGTGTACCAGGAAAGGCCAAGCAAAAAACTCTGTAACACAGACTAGGTTTTGGTGTGGGTTTTTTCCCTAAATTTAATCAGAGAGCTAAGGTATTTCCCTAGCGTCCACAGAGGTGAAGTTAAAAATATAAGTAAGAAATATAAATCTAGGATTACATTATAAAGTTGGGCAGGCTGGGACAAGCAGACCACAGATCGTTTACAGCGGCTGTAAGCGAATATTTTCAAAATGGACTTTGACAAAAACATCATCTCCAAGTAATGACAAATTGGAGTCGATATGGCTGAGCTTAAATACAACAACTCATCCCACGCACATTGTGTTGTGTGTGACGGAAGTGCTCAAGCTGTTGTAAGATCGGGGCTCTCCCCTTACCTGTGAGATTCTCTTGATCCTGGTCCACGCGCTTCCGCTCCATCTCCACCACTCGCCGCTGAATGCCCCGGTAGCTGATGTCGCTGAAGTCCTGCATGTTCTTCTTCACACGTTCTGTGATGGGGTCAGTAACTACGGGCGTGAAGCTGCCTTTGCTTTTCTCAAAATCTTCGTGGTATTTCACCTGCAATTTAAAACAAAACGTCTGTTTGCTGTAGCTTGGATGGGTAAATTTATTTCTGCGTGCACCTCAGGT